CGGTGCAAAAGCACCTCGACAACTTTGGTTTGGCGGCCGACTTTGGTACGCACTCGCGCATGCGCGGTCTCTCGGGCGGTCAGAAGGTCAAGGTCGTCCTCGCCGCTGCCATGTGGCTCAACCCGCACATTTTGGTGCTCGATGAACCGACCAACTTCTTGGATCGCGACTCGCTCGGTGCCCTTGCCGGTGCCATTAAGGAGTTTGGCGGCGGTGTCGTCTTGATCTCGCACCACCGTGAGTTCACGGACGCCTTGGCGATCGAGACGTGGAACGTCGTCGCTGGTCAGCTCTCGATCGAAGGTCAAGTTCCGGAAGACAAGACCAAGATTGAGCAGATCGACGCCGAGGAGTCCGTGGACGCGTTCGGTAACAAGGTCGTCACCAAGGTCAAGCGAAAGCTCACCCGCAAGGAGCTCAAGGTCAAGCTCAAGGCCAAGCGCGATGCTGAGAAGCGTGGCGAGTTTTACTCGGACTCGGACCTTGACGGATACGAAGAGTAAGAGATGACGACAATGATGTCGTATACGCCATTCCAATACAGTGCATGGTTTCCAAATACTGTCTTTTTTCGCGTGTGGCTCGTGCTTGGTCGGCGAGACCGCCGAAAGCGAAGCGGGGTAGCTGAGCTGCGAGCTTGTGACCATGTGGCGGACTTTCAGTCAATGGATCCTTCTCGTATTCGTCGGAAATGTCAGTGCTGTTGTTGTGGCTGTGGTTGAAGTGGGTCGTCTATTGCAATGTAAACTATGCTAAAAAGGATTGTCGGACTTTCTTCGTTGTGTACACTCGGCGGAGGAACTCGATTTAGACAGGCGGAGGCAGGATTGTTGCGGCCACTCGTGTTGGGCGAGGAGCCAGAGAAGCCGACGAAGACCAGGACGCTCGGGCTCTTGACGGAGGCTGTGGTGCAAGTGCACTTGAGCGACGCACGCCGCCTTGGTGGTAATCTCCATGGACTTCGGAGTGGTAGGTCGGCGCGAAAGATGCTATCATTCCGGACGCGCCAGACGTTGAACCAGTCGGAGGCGCGGAGCACGGGCCAGAGGCAGCGGGACGCGACTTGATGCATCTTGGAGGCTGTATTGGGCGTCGAGTAGAGATAGCCCGAGAGCATTGTCGGCAAGGTCATGCCCAATGGGACTGTGACTGCGTGAAGCGTGCTCCACACGTCCTCAATGAAGTCGCTGTATACGAGGAAGTGACGGTACGTCTCGTGCCCGGGGCAGAAGAGGCACGCTTGGTCGCGCGGAGGATCACTTGGTAGACGAAGTCGGCGTACTTGGGTAAGATGGAGTCGGGTAGTCGAAGCTCTTTTACTACGGCAGCTGGCGCCTCGTAGAAGTCATCATCGACGCCCAAGTGGCGGGTCGAAAGCTACAAGCGCGTCTTTGGCGGGGCGCGACGGCAGCGGGCGCCGTTAGCGTGAACGCAGCAAAGATTTTTACGTGTCAAAGTTCAAAAATATCGTCCGCCAATGAGCGACGCGTGAATATTTTCAACCAATCAAATGCGCCTATCGTCCATTGCGCGATCCGATTTGCAGCTGCGCAATGATTTTGGCGCCACTTTCGGCGAGATCGTCACCTACTGCGGGTCGAGCTCAACCAAGTGCCGCTACTCTTCCAAACCGACGACGCACCCGACCTCAACACGACCACAATAATATTCGACCCGACCGCATCAAGCTCCTCCCGACGCTCACTAAGACGGTCAAGGAGCGCGATCCGAGCCCGATTCCAGATACGCGCGACTGGCAGTGCCACAACCCGATGCCACCGGCGCGAAGCACGTCCGTTGCGTGCTCATCACGCCGTTGCGAGTCGTCTGAAAGCCGCCAGTGATCCACGCGTCTAGCCGCGTCTTGCGCATGTATAGCAAGCACTTGGAGCGGTTCACATGACGGTACGGGTATGTGCACAGGGTCAAGTTTACGATTATGCCTTCTCTCACGAGAAGGATCCATTGACTGAAGGTCCGCCACATGGTCACAAGCTCGCAGCTCAGCTACCCCGCTTCGCTTTCGGCGGTCTCGCCGACCAAGCACGAGCCACACGCGAAAAAAGACAGTATTTGGAAACCATGCACTGTATTGGAATGGCGTATACGACATCATTGTCGTCATCTCTTACTCTTCGTATCCGTCAAGGTCCGAGTCCGAGTAAAACTCGCCACGCTTCTCAGCATCGCGCTTGGCCTTGAGCTTGACCTTGAGCTCCTTGCGGGTGAGCTTTCGCTTGACCTTGGTGACGACCTTGTTACCGAACGCGTCGACCGACTCTTCGGCGTCGATCTGCTCAATCTTGGTCTTGTCTTCCGGAACTTGACCTTCGATCGAGAGCTGACCAGCGACGACGTTCCACGTCTCGATCGCCAAGGCGTCCGTGAACTCACGGTGGTGCGAGATCAAGACGACACCGCCGCCAAACTCCTTGATGGCACCAGCGAGCGCACCGAGCGAGTCGCGATCCAAGAAGTTGGTCGGTTCATCGAGCACCAAAATGTGCGGGTTGAGCCACATGGCAGCGGCGAGGACGACCTTGACCTTCTGACCGCCCGAGAGACCGCGCATGCGCGAGTGCGTACCAAAGTCGGCCGCCAAACCAAAGTTGTCGAGGTGCTTTTGCACCGCAATGGCCGTGACGGGACGCG